AGTTGTCTTACTCCTGTCTTCAATTCACTTTAAACGCATCACTGAGCTTTTCATAGCGAATTATTTGGCATATGGCGTCTTCATATAGTTGTTGAATGAGGTTGATAAAGGCTTGTGACATTAAAACCATAGTGTTGAAGCAGTTGCCAAATTACTTTTCGGTCGATGCTGTCGAAGGCTTTTTCAAAGTCGATGAAGTTGAGGTACAGAGTTGACTGGCATTCGATGCTGTGTTCTATGATGCTGCGTTGTATAACGTTGCAATTTGATCCGCACATGATATGTACTTCGTGGCTTATGTATTATCATCTGATAGTAACCACATTCAATTAACAATTGCCAGACTTACTTAAGTCGTAATTGTTTCAAAAATGGTTCGTTAAACCACTTTCATTTATACTAAGCAGTTAAATTTCTCAAGATGTCTTCACACGAGTTTCCTTACAGTGTAGTTAAATTTAGAATCAATGCATATCCATTATCGTGAAGCTTTCCTTATTAGGTTTTTCAATATACTGACTGCAATTTTTTTAATACCTACTCATTCATGAGATTAAAAGTGGTAAAACTACACACTGAATATAGTTTATTTCCGAAACACTGTGAGTAATGAGTTCATAAATCTTTTTGCCATGTACCGAAGTTTTCGTTCATTAAACTCGTCAGTATAGTACAACTCAATTAAGAAACACAGCAAGTATTTTTCATTTTCCCGTTAAACTTCTGACTGCCCAAGTACTTTTGTTATTATGATGGACGGATTACTGACAATCAAATAGGTATTCTACATGATTCATCCTATCAAAAATGTTATGAGATTGATTATACTAAGCAATCAGAACAAATATTTGGTGATTAGGTTGCATTCAACTGCATATGATCAAACTTCTAAATTTGCTGAATAAACCTCCTAATCTCATCTTGAACAATTGAACAAAAAGAGTATGTGACCTTGGAGTTAGATTCCTCTGGTCATTTGATATTGAGCCTAATATTCAGCTGTGTTTATTCCATATCTTTGACAGTGTATAAGTTATAGATCTACAGTCAACGTTGATCCGTTTTATGCAGTCTAAGATACAAATGGGTAAGATAATTTTTACAAGGAAATGTGGTAGAACTAAAATTTACTAACTACCAATCACGTTTGAGTATGTACTGACCAATGAGCATCAAGAAAATGAAGCACACCATAATAATTCAGGAAAATGATACTTTTGCATCATTATCCCGTTAAAGGTCTTCAAAACTTGTTTGTGTACACTTCAGTTGTTCGATCAACTAATTGCTTTTTGTAAACAATAGCTTGATATGGGTAACCAATTTCAGATAAAGGCATATATAACTTCTAAGTATCTGTGAATATTGTGATACTCAATGCCATGCATTTTTGCATAACTCTTTGCTAGGAAATATTTTTCTCATCTGTACTTTATCTACTGAAAATCTCCTTTCTTCCTGTTTCGGTCAAATATACCACAAATCCGGGATCTGGGATGATATATATATATATATATATATTACATAGTGTATAACCTATCCATTCCTGTTTAAGTTATCTTCCTATGTTATTTTTAAGCTTTCGAACAAGACATTCATCTATTTTAACCATATTACTTTCTCCATAAATTTTTACATCCAACTTCTGCAATGTAATCATCATCATAATTGAGCAAACGTTTGTGTAACATCAAAAACATGTTAAACGGATGTAATAAATAAATCATCTCCAACCCGATTGGTTGTCCTCAAGGTTACCCATCACTAAAGTTTAGTTCTATGGGAAATATTTTTAGACATTTATCATTGCTGTACAATAGTCGCAAAGAAATTTACACTTGAAAAATGTTCAATTCCTCAGGTCAACACAAAACATTCCCATTTTATTTCTGTTCCATAATATCGAGAGACCTTCGTTTATACATAAATTTCTCAAAAAAAGTGGACGGTTTCTCTGATTTTAAAAATTCTTTAGATGAAACTTCAGATGAGTTTCCACTAAGCGATAAATATGCCAAGTCTTCTTGAAGAGAGAAAAACAACAAGCTAATCACAAACTAAAAATTCTCTTCATGTTTGCCTTTTAAATGTCAGAGTATAAATACTAAGATAAACAACAGACAGGAAATATAGAAGTGAACTTATGATGTAAAACGTTTTTCCTCAACAGTATCACACTAACTGTTTTTCATAATGTATATACACAATTCATTCCTCTGAGTAGATGAAAACAATCATTTCGTAGCTTGTAGCTTAGTTGGTAGAACACCAGGCCGGTAACCCACTAGTCGCTGGTTCAAGTCCACCCGTGGTCCAGATTTTCATCTCACCTTCACTTGTCATCTAGTATAATCCTTTCTGTTTAGGAACTTCCGTAGTCCTAGTATACCATACATTGTTTCTTAATTCTGCCAAAATACTATCCATAACCTAGGTTTTAAAGAGGTAGGCTAATTATTCAATTATAATTAGTGATAAATAGTGAATAATAGTGGAATTCAGGATGCACTAGGGACTCGTCAGCTGTATACACCTAACTCCCAGTGGGTGGTGTTGTTCCTACTAAGACTTGAACCAAGGGCGGATCAATTAGGTCCAGTCAACGACGGAAATGCCCAAGCTATGACACCAAAGACTATACTATACACGTCATACAAGGAGTGGCTGACATGACTCAATGGCCTAGTGAATAACACTCAATCGTTTGAAACTATCGGTCTTGGGTCCGAATTTTACCTAGGACAACACTCAGTGGGTCGCAGGTACATTTAGCTAACGAGTTCCAATTAGGGTTATTAGCGTATGCTGCATTCTACTGCCAGTGACTATCCATCATTACTACAAACAGCATTGGTTTAGTGTACACTCAAACTGAATGTGACGAAGCTTCCCTTGTGTTTTTTTTTTCATTGGTATCTGGTCAAATTGTAGTTGTTCGCGTGAAACTGAAAACATTCTTAGTGTATAAAACACTGTGTAGCACTAGATTGTGAGGATGACTGCAGTTTACTAACGAAAAGTTACAATCTAGGCGTTAGTGTTTATTAGTTTGAAGTAATCTTTATGCTATATGCACAAAAAACTTGGCAACTGTCGTCGGATATGATTCCAAGCAACATTTATTTCTTTGATATAGCACTACTCTTATGAGTGACCTTGAAAATCATTCAGACAACGACTGAAACAACCAATTAGGTTTCTTTATTTCAATCGATTGGTTACCACAATAGGTGTCTAGGTGATCTTTAAAGTTGCTCCACAAAGATATCATCTAATAGATGACGTTTTGAGTAATAACTTATCCTTGAAACATCATCGAGTGAAAAATACTGTCTCAACGTTTGTTATGCCAAATAAGTAAATCTGATTTGAAATTTTCAGACTGGTTTTTATATCAAAGTTTACTATTAAGCAACTACTATATGTGCAGTTACTTTAGAGGAGGTAAATAATAAGACGAAATATCTGTCCACCGTTGCAGTCTGTTTCGCGGATGGGAGAGGAATCCAATAATTGGCAGCTGGATCTACCTGTCCTCCAATGAGCTATCTTATTCCCATTAGGACTTGAATCCACTATAACATCGCTTCAAATGACAGAGTGTTATCCACTAGGTCGATTGGGGAGGAGAATTAGTCCCTTGGTATGAAAAAAACACGCCCACTGGATTCCACTGGTAGCCAACAAGCCAACTAAAGCATAGTGAATAATCGAGTAGAATCAAGCCTGTCTACCTACAAAAGTCAAGCCATTCGACCAGATATAGCAATGGGAGATTAGAAGTATCAAACAACATACGTTCTCACGGTGTTTATTTAACTTTTCACTGTGGTTTTCCGGTTATTACCTCTTCAAGATCAAAAGCACCTACATTTCTGAGTTTTTGTATGCTATAAATTTGTTTCAACCAACAGACTTTATTTATTTTAAAAGCAGTATCCATCATGGACTGATATCAGTTGGGGAACCATTGGAAATATGGGAGAACTGGACACCTGTTTCGTCCAACTAGTATGCAACTCCTCAGTAGTACACATACACGACCCGGCTATGGGTCGAACTCACCAACTTCAGGTTTCATGGTGAACGCGTTAAGCATTCAGCCACTGGGTCGGTTTCCAATGGTTCACAATTTCCAATTTCTGTCAATTCACGACATAACACGACTATCACCCAAGTTCTTCAGTTAGCATCCACTTCACTTCCAACTGCTTGACCCCACAGGTCACGGCTTCTCATTAGAACTTCCTAACATCCATCTGGAAGCAAGTCACTAATGAGCACTATAGAGTAATGTATTTTTTGAGATGAATGGGGATTTTTAATTTAGAGGTAGTATTCATCATGGACTGACATAAGTTGGGGAACCATTGAAAATCTGGGAGAACTGGACAGCTGTTTCGTCCTAGTATGGGACTCCTCAGTCGGAAGTGAAGTGGATACTAACTGAAGAACTTGGGTGACAGTCGTGTTATGTCGTGAATTGACAGAAATTGGAAATTGTGAACCATTGGAAACCGACCCAGTGGCTGAATGCTTAACGCGTTCACCATGAAACCTGAAGGTGGTGAGTTCGACCCATAGCCGGGTCGTGTATGCGTACTACTGAGGAGTTGGATACTAGTTGGACGAAACAGGTGTCCAGTTCTCCCATATTTCCAATGGTTCCCCAACTGATGTCAGTCCATGATGAATACTACTTCTAAAATTAAAAATCCCGATTCATCTTAAAAAAGACTTTAATTATATTAGGTGTATCTTTTAACCACTCATTCCTCTTTAGTATTCCATTTAAAAACCAGAATATATTAGGCAATACAGAAATGATTGTGTAGATTTAAGAGAGAGAAAACAAGACATATTGGGTTGAAAGTTTTGACCAACCCCTGTGAGCCAGTAAAGGATGAAAATGTCAGACAACGCAAATGTACACGTACGCACGCATCCACCCACCCACCCACACACACAGACAAGTAGAACGAACCAGTCAGTAGTTAGCCATGTTTTTTAATCCATTTAAAAATACCTCAATGTATACATGATTAGTAGATTAGTATTTTACATTACTGTATCAATTGGGTGCAAATATCTTGTATTCAAATCAATTATTTCTATCATCAGAAGATTATTTTTTTCCTTTTTTTTTTTTACATCGAACAATCTACTTTTGGATAACACTCCTTGAATATAGATTCATTAGTTATTTCAAATGTCTAATACATCCAATGATATAACTATTTCTGAAGGTAAACGTCTTGTTGCAGCTAAAATTGCAAGTGCTGTGACTAGTGGAGGTAGTCCAGCACGAGTGATTAATGCATTTCTACAAGTACAAGATTATCAAGGATTAGATAAATACTTAAGCAAACATAAAATTCCTATAGATATTTTAACAGCATCATTACAAAGTGCATGTATGCGATCTGATAGTGAAGCTGTTGGTACATTTGCAAAACATGGAGGTAATGTAAATCATACTGATCAATTTGGTACTACACTTTTACATTTTGCTATGCGTGGTGGTGGAGATGAGAATGTTATCAAAGCATTAGTTGCTCATGGATTAGATTATCAACTATGGAGATCTGAAGGAATGCCTCTACTTCATTGGGCTTGCAGTAATGGATTAATCAATCTTGTTGAGTAAGTTTATAAATTATATCAGTTTATTGATAATGAAATATTTTACTCAAATGTAATTATGTTTATCTTTTTTATTATTGTTCATGGAATTCATTTGCATGGAAGTGAATCTTAGATATTCACGTAAAACCTTCTTCTTTATGTATCAGTCATATTGACATTCCACTTATCAGTTTGTTAGTAATTCTATACAGGCAAGGTAGTCAGTCCAAAAACGTCTTGCATGAACGTTATTGATAGAATCAATGATTTGTTATTTATCCGTTGGGTTCATAGTGGAACATAGGGCTTAAATAGCACGCCTCCATTCCACTCTCTTCTCTGCAATCTTCTGAACCTCGCTCTACGACTCTACAAGCTTTTATTTCTTCCTCAAACCATCTCCTCTATGTCACCCTTACCTCAGACGCTTAACTCGCTGTTTACCATCTGAGTTGCGCTCGATTGCCTGGCGGATGATATCCCCTAATGGTCTTCTCATTGCATATGCAATCTATGTCCATTTTCTTCTGCATATTTATTGAGTGATAGGTTCTTGGTTGGTTCGTTGCCAGGCCATAGTGAGTTCTTTGTTTCTTATTCTCATTATTCTGGCCATCTGAGCTTCAGTAACGAGTCAGCGTAGGCGGCAGCTGTTGATGAATGTGTGCAGTTTGTTGGAAATGCTTTTTGTGACGTGCCAAGTCTGTCAACTATATAGCAGCACTGACTGAATTGGTGTTGAAAATCCGGATGTTGTTCACACTTTATGCTGAGTGCAGTCGACCTCCACACTAGTTTCACTTTAATGAACGCCTGTCTTGTGGTATTTTCTGATCATAGCCTTGACGTCTTCGTCTGTGCCGGAACCAATGATTACTGGTTATGAATTTAGAATAGTTAATTAGCTAAAAGACTATACTGCATAGGTAGGTGATAATTTAATAAAACAATGAGAAGGTGTTTATGAGAGCTGGATGAAATAAACTAAGAAGGATAATTTAAGCAATAACTGAGTGATAGGATATTACTTCTGTTGAGGGAAAAATGAGTTCAGAATCGGGACACAGTAGTTGCAGTAATAATACCTACTTCTTTTGATCCTGATTGCTACTGCTTGTAAAGTTTGAAGGATTCCTAGGCAAGTACCTTTTTGCAAGCTGATGGGAACACGGTACAGAATGGAAAATCACTTATTTATATCCATCTTATGGATGATATCGACTAAGTGTTCTAATATGAAGTTAGTTATAGTCTTTACCTCACCTTCACGTTGGCAAGCGCGAAAAATTAAATTCTTAGAAAAGCGATCGAGGTAAATGGCTTCATGGGAGTAGTGGAATTGACGCAGCCAGTCTAGCCAACCCATCTTTCACTCTCCATTTCATCATCTGGCGTGTGGAAAACGGGATTTGTAATTTAAAAGGATTTAAAATTCTCTGAATTAATCTGCTTAACTTGTGAATTAGCATCTCGCTAAGCATATCATCTCTAAATTGTATCTGAATGTAATGGATTAGAAACAACATTGCAACCCTTTGAAACCTGATCACATATAGTAGCATTTAGTTGAATAACTTTGGTGAATTAACTGATGTTGTTTGATGGTTTGATTCAGACTTTTACCTTTTTTATCAGTATGGAACCAACCCACAACAAATAGTTTCATCATCCATGAGTTAATAACATAATAGTCACATTGTAAGCTTATTATTATTATAATATTATTAGTCCCTTGGGTTCCTAATGGAACATACGGCTTCAGTAGCACGTCTCCAGTGAACTCTGTTCTCTGAAATCTTTTCAAGCTGGCTCCACGACAGCCCACAAGCTCTCTTTTCCTCCTCGCACGATCTCCTCCATGTCACCCTATCCTCGAACGTCCAACTCGTCACTTCCCATGGGGATTCCACTCGAGTAACTGGCCTGACGCGTGATGTCCCCAATCGGCTTTCTCAGTGTATGCCCAATCCAATCCATCTCCACTTCCTTCTACTGCATATTTGTTGGGTGATAAGTTCTTGGTTGGTTCGTTCGCAGAGCTCCTTGTTGCTTATTCTCACTATTCTGGCCATCTGATCATCAGTAGCGAGCCAGCGTAAGCAGTTGTTGATGAATGTCTGTAGTTTATTGGAAGTCCCTTTCGTAATGCGCCAAGTCTCTGAACCATCACATAGCAGCACTGACTTGACGATGGTGTTGAAAATCCGGATGTTGTTCACGCTTCATGTTGAGTGCAGAAGATCTCCACACTGGTTTCAGGCTAATGAAGGCCTGTCTTGCTTTTCCGATCCTAGCCGGCTTTGACATCCTCGTCTGTTCTTGTGCCGCCTGTAGTTGAAACAGTGCTTCCTATTATGAACAACTAACAATAAAAAGGTAGACAAGAAATGAGGTTAATGCCTTATGAACTATCCTAGAGTCACTTAGACATGGTTTACACTTTTTAACATCGATTTTCTCTGCATACATATCATTTTCTCCCCTTTATTGTCAACACTTGAAGCATTCAAAGTTAATAATCTATTGTCAAAAACCGCATATCATTCTTTTTTATTGAAACCAAGGCAATAAAAGAAGGGTAGGTTAATGACAAATAATTTCATATCTGGCTCTGTGATAGGTGATAATCATAAGATCAATGTTTTCTAAAATATTACTTAGTTTCTACACTGAGCTAGAATAGTCAAAGGCATATTTCATCCCACTTGATTCTGTGATAATTATAAACTTTAGAAAATAAAAGTTCCAAAGGATTACTTACCTACTATCATTAATATTATTGTTATTGTTATCGCTTGTATTATGCCGTCGTCGATTCGACCGAAATGATAAGCTTATGGGCTCCTGCACGCATGCCTTGATAATGCCTTTGTTTTAATTATGTATATTAATGACGGATAATGGCTAGCAGTGGAATCTAGGGTTCGCATTTCGTCCAACTTAAGACTCGCCACCTGGATGTACCTACCTCCCAGTGAGTGATGCTGTTCCCACCAGGATTCGGAGCCAATATGCCGATAGAGACCGATCAATTAGGTCTAACCAACGACAGTGTAATACAAGCAATAACACTCAATATCACTAGTCACAGTCTACATCTTATTTTATCAAGGTGTTAAGTTTATTTTGTGTCTGTAATGATGGAAAATCAAAAAAATTAGACAGAAATTATTCTAACTCCAAACAAGCAGGATTTTGCCCGGCTACCATGTGAATCTGTAATACATAACTGTCCACTCATCTCACTCCAAGTTGAGCCGAATTTGAAGGAAATGCTGTCATAGTGATTAATAATGAGATGAAATGAGAAAGCCGAAGTTTGGTAGACTGGGTAGCCAGTATGACAACGTTGAGTAAGTAGGCAGTTATGTAACACAGATTCAAATGACAGCAAGATAAGACACTCTGTGATAATAGAACGGAAATGCAAAACCGGTCAGCATCCAGTTCTTAAAGCTCAATTAGAACAATCTCGAGCCGATAACTTGAAGCCACTAATTCGAATCGCACTGCAATCCAAAATTTTCCTTCACCTTCAAACAGTATACGTACCATTAGTACAAGTCTTTCAAATCACAATTATCTTACTTAGTCTCAATGAGAATCTACATTAAATTGAATTCAATAAAATATTAACCTTACATTTACCAATGTAGATGAAAGAGGAATAGATAATTTGCCTAGTTTCATGTTAGCGTTTTTAATGTTAAAAAGCGATCATCCTCGCAACTACACCTTCAATAATAATAATAATAACAATAATGATTGATAGTGCCTAGCAGTGGGGTCCAGGACACATGTTCCGTCCTGTTCATGACTCATCAGTTGGGCGTTTCTGCCTCCCAGTGAGTGATGTTGTTCCCACCAGGGTTCGAACCCGGGACCGATTGCTTCAAACACCAGAGTGTTATCCATCAGATCACCGAACCACGCTACTCACTTCTTGTGCAATGGGCATAGTTTTAGTGTTACTGCTTGTATTATACCATCATTAATTGAGCCGAACTAATCGGCTCAGCTATAATACTAAAACTGTCATTATCATCAATATCAACATAGGACCAGGTATTACTGCGTAACGGTCCGAGTTGCAACACCTCATATCACTAAATTAAGTAGAAAGGTAGTGAAGTCAAGATGAAGATAAGAGAATGCAGTCAAATGGAATATTAAGTACGAAACAGAGAAAGGAAGAATGATAACATGGTGAAAATCGGTATAGCCTCATTAAGATGAGGATAATGTATGTATACATCTACGCCACTCACATCGGGTCTGAGCCATATCACCTATAGTCTCCAACCACTGGTTCCTCTTGTCCCGCGGACCAAAACCGGCTGGCTAGTCTGCACCGCCCCATATGGCTCATACATTGGTGCCATTTTTTAGTCTTGCCACCTCGGGCCTTTTTCCAGCCTGTCACATAAGAAGTGGCCATCGTGGCTAGGTAGTCTAGTGGATAACGCCCTGATGTTTGGAGCGGTCTGTTTCGAGTTCGAATCCCGGTGACAACAATATCACCCACTGCGAGGCAGGAACATCCAGCTGACGAGTCGCAAATGGGAGGAAGCGCGCAACCTGGATTCCACTGCTAGCCAGTGTCCATCACTAAAATTTACTGACATTCAGTTTTGAAAAAAATGAAGTATAAACTACAGCAGTACTTAAGTGATTGTTTTATTTCGTAAAATTCAAGACAGAGATGTTACTCTGAATTCTTTACAATTGATAAAATGTAATACTGTAGTCTAGAAGTAAGTTGTACACATTCGTTTATACCTGGACAGTTTAGTATCATAAACTGTAGCTCTGAAAAAATTACATCGAAAATTTTCTTGTAGTAGTAGTTCAGTTCACAAATCGGCAATGCAGTCTCAGTAACCATGAGTAAATATACCACAAAGCTTTAAGATATAAAAGCGACTCTATGGCCTATATTATGGGTTGTATGATGTAACCAGTGTTTGGAACAAAAATAGTGATCATTAATAAAGCAGTAGGATTTGGTCGCTATGGTA